TCATTGTCGACGGTGAACCGCCCCTGCAACCGTGAACAATTTGATATGTCAGAAAATAAGTCAGCAAGAGTCGAAATGTTAGCGCGATGATAGAAAGCGGCAAGTTGAAACCACTTGACAGCAGCATCCCTTGCCATCGTCTGCAGCGCAGTGGCGGCTCGAGTCACCAGCTCGCTGGCTGGAGAGAGAGACCGCTCCGCGTTTCACTGTCTCGCAGAGCGAACTCGTGGTGCAATGGATAAAAGGACAATGGCAGTGGCCGAAAAGACTTGGTTCGAGACCCGTCTCGGCTACCCTTTTTTTGCGGCGGTCTCACTACGTTCGCACTTAAGTCGGACCAGCACTTCTCAGAGGTCAGACTTCTCGCCACTGCAGAGGCGAGACATAAAAGTCGGTCAGACAAAAAAGTCTCGCCATAAAACGGTCAGACACAAACGTCTCACCACAAAATGGCGAGACTCCCTCCGCACCTGAGCACCGATCACATCCGCTTCGATTGTTCAAGGACCCTCTACTTTTAGCGAAGGAGTCCCGTAAGTATGGCGCCTCTTTCGCTAAAAGTAGAGGGTCCTTGAACAATCGAAGCGGATGTGATCGGTGCTCAGGTATAGTTGTGGAGGGAGTCTGAACTATAGGGCACACTAACAGGCAAATCTCAGATTGTGATTTCTAGGAAGTTTCTGTTTGAGGCTCCTCAGGTATCAATCACCATCAAAGCACCGTTGTTGGGGCCTTTGAAGCGTGACCCATGTACCATGTAACCACGTGGCATAAGTTGCCCTAAATTTGTCCAGTGATGGTTAGAGACGTTCTTTTTGCGTAACACGCATTGGGGGGGGGGGATTTGTAACAGACTCGTTAAAAAAGGAATTTAGGTACTTTATGTAATGCTTGAACCATTTTTCGAATCATCCGCTTCCTTATTTCAATACACTCACACATCACCTAATTTAAAGCGAGTTATTCTAATTTATACTCCGAAGTTGCTCGATTGCTCGCGAGCAAATTTGTAGTTTTGGAGTAAAGAAGAGGAAACACATGCACTCCGATAGATTTTATACCTGTTTTCAAACGTGATGGGAGGGAACATGGAAAGGTCCAGCGTTGACCTTGCCGTGGCAGGATGTGGTGCAGTGTGTTGACTTTCTGCACTCAAAACTCGTGCTGACTTTTTTCGTGCGTTACGTGCACGCATGTAAGCTCTGCACGATATCAATCATCGTTGTGAACATTTTATGTACAAAGATGCATGAAATGTACCCAATGAGGTAAACTATTGTAGGGTAAGGTTGCCAAACATGGATCACTTTTTAGAAATGTCCTATATTTCGGCTCAAACAAGCGATGACCAAAATTTTCTTCGACACACTTTAAGATTGCCACAAAGACAACCTTCTCGCAAGAACTGTACATTCAATAACAAATACTTTGAAATTTACAGGGCTTTGAAATTTCGCTGATTTTCGTGATGCATCACGCAAAAAAAAAGTCAGTCCAGAGCTAATTTTCTTAGTTGGCGTTTTTTAGCACCACAGCTAAAAAAATTGCAACTCTGCTAGCGACCTCTGCTGAGTAGCGCTGCTCCTTTAGTTGAGGGTCTGCCGGAGATCGGCTTTCCCGGAACCTATATCTCTGGAGGACTCAGCTACTTCAGTTTGCTGCATTGCTAATCAATGGCTGCAAAATGGGATTTACAATGCAGCAAAAATGTTTAGGAGATAGGGCAAGGCTACGTTCGTTCCGTGGCGCTTCGCTCGCGCTGGTGGCTAGCATTGAGAGATGGGTTAGTGACAAGCGCCTGGAAGGTAGGCAACCCTTGACACCGTATGGCCTATAAATTTTTTAGGAACACAACACTGGGGTTTGTCGGGGGAAAGGATGCTCCCCCCGTTCTCATCGTGACATCACCCATGGTCAGCAATTTTTTAAAATCCCTTGAGACACGACTGTCCCGGAGGAGCCTTACACTACAAACCTAACTGTCTACTAAGTACACACTTACAAATGCGTGCTTGCAAGTACACACTTACAAACGCATGCTTGGCCAAGTACACACTTACAAATGCATGCTTGCAAGTACACACTTACAAACGCATGCTTAACGCATGGAGTTATACGGCGTCAAGCATGCGTTTGTAAGTGTCTACTTGCAAGCATGCATTTGTAAGTGTGTACTTGGCCAAGCATGCGTTTGTAAGTGTGTACTTGCAAGCACGCATTTGTGAGTGTGTACAAAGTAGACAGTTAGGTTTGCAGTGTACGCCTCAGGACGACTGGTCCGTCTAAGACAGAAAATCCCGCACCTTCATTCCACAATGCTAATGCAGCTAGAGTTGTTATCAATGTCACTTATCTCCGTTTTCTCCATAGCTAAATTTACCCAGCTAATAATTTTTAGCTGTGCAGCTAAAAATTTTGCTGGGCCTACAGAGCTAGATAAATTAGAACTGGTGCTAACTTTTTAGCTCTGAAGCGATTTATTTTTTTACGTGATGTTTGGGTCAGACCCCAAAAATGGATCCCCCCCCCCGCGTTTTTTACAGGGGAGATCCGATAACTTCCGGTCACCTAAATTTTAAAAGTGTACACTCTGAAGGTGCCACGAAAAAAAATTTGAGACATTTCTGTTGAATGGATTCTTTTTAATAACGGTTTTAATTTTGACCCTTAACCTAACCTGAAACCAGGCCGTTTTCAAACCCCTTTTCAGAGGCACTTTTTCACTTGCATACTGTAAGTGTAACGCTAAGATTGATGAGCTCCCCCGCGCGTGATTCTGAAAGTTGAAGGTGTAGACTTCACACTAAATGTTTATGGGCGATTCCATGCCAAACCAACGAACGCTTGGAATTTCATCTCTCCGATTTTGATGAAACTTTTTTTGGGGGTAGGGGTCATCAAAAAAAACCCCTGCCAAAGGGTTTTGCGATATCTCACCTCGTTTGGCTGTGGCAGGATATCAAAGTTTTAGCTTTAGTCAAAATCATGATATTTTCTTAAATTTCCTCTTTTCTGGCTGCTTTTTTTTCGGATTTTTTTCCGTAGTGTTTTTTTTACGTAAAAAGAGCTGGGGAACACGATGGAAACGGTTTCGAGACGATTGGGTGAAGTTTAGATGCCAAAATTTTCTTTTTTCGTCATATTTTTTCGAAAAATTACTATTCCCAAAATAGCACTGGTGAAACAAAGGCATAAAAATTATGCCCTTAAAGATAAATCGTTAATGCCTTTCGGAAGGGCATTAAAATTTTGCTTGAAATTCTCATACCATTTACGCCCTTCCCAAGGGCATAAAACAATTTATGCCCTTGCAAGGGCGTAATAGAGCATTTATGCCCTAAAGGGCGTAATTTTTATGCCTTTGTTTTACCAGTGAGCTCATCTTTGATTTCGACCTAACTTCTACCAAATGATCTCCTAACATAGTGGAACAAAACCCTAAAAGGGTTTGGTCGGCCCGGCCATGGGATCTGAGAAATCGCAAAAACAAATTTTGAAAAATCACCAAAATTGTATATTTGAGGTGGTGGTGGTGGTGGGGGTTCTTGCCTGCGCTGCGCACACTGTGGCAAAAAGGTACGGAAAATTCTGTTAATTTTTTTGCCAGGATTCTCCGTAGCCCTCTTATCAGTATTCTCCGTAGGCTCTTACAGTATTCCCGTGGGGCCGTACAGTATTCTCTGTAAGTCAGCACAGTCTTCTCCGTAGGACCTGGAAGACTGTATAGTCCTACGGAGATCACTGTAAGGTCCTACGGAGAATACTGTGCTGTCCTACCGAAAATACTGTAAGAGCCTACGGAGAATATTGATAAGGGGGCTACGGAGAATTACCACAAGCTGTTTACAGAATTTTCCGTAGCTTTTTGCCACAGTGCAGCCGTCTGTTCTGGTCAACATCGACTTCCCCCGTCGGCGTGCGAAGGAAAACCCCCGCCAGGAGCGCCTGTGAAGCTCGGGTAGGGAAACCCCCAGGCCAGAGTGCGATGTGCGTGCGGTGAGTTTCCTACCTTCCATACCATTACCACTAAGGGTAGAACACATGAGTTAAGAACTTCACTTGAAAGGGGACCACAATCAATCGTGTGTACAAGTCTATGTTTCTTCTGTTAAAATGGTGAACATTTTCAAATGGTGCGCATTGGTAATCACAAATGGTGATCATTTGGTAAAAGTTAGGTCGAAATCGAAGATGAGCTATTTTGGGAATAGTAATTTTTTTGAAAAAAAATGACGAAAAATGAAAATTTGGCATCTAAACTTCACCCCAAACGTCTCGAAACCGTTTTTCCCTCGTGTTCCCCAGCTCTTTTTACGTAAAAAAAAAAACTGTGGAAAATAATAAAAAAAAACAGCCAAAAAAAGGAAATTTAAGAAAAATCATGATTTTTACTAAAGCTAAAACTTTGATATCCTGCCACAGCCAAACGGGGTGAGATGTCGCAAAACCTTTGGCAGGGGGTCTTTTTATGATGACCCCTACCCCCCAAAAAAGTTTCATCAAAATAGGAGACATGAAATTCCAAGCGTTCGTTGGTTTGGCATGGAATCGCCCCCCTAATACGGAGAAAAAAAAGTCATTGGAAGTTCTACGAAAAATTGCCTCGTATTAATTGCGAAGAAAGATCCTTCGCAATATAAAGCATTTCTTCATAATACGACGCAATTCTGCAATGCCTTCATTTCCTTCGCAGTTACGCAGCAAAAGCTGAGCGTTATTTTGTGACACCCAAAATTTTCAGAGTGTGTTGCTTGCTTGCCTACAGGCGTTTTCGCCGGTTTTTACCACCCTAATGCCTCCAAATTTTAAACAATGAATGAGGGAAGTTGCTCCCTCACAACTCAGCCACTTACTCTACAAACTCAATTGTGTACATAGTACACTCCACCTGGAGCCAACATGCATGTACACTACAACCTGGCATGTACACTCAAGGTTGGCGTGTTCTTACCAAGTACACGCCAGGGTGGTGCATACCTTTCAGGTAAGGTACACTGTTGCTAAAGCTCCCTATCTTTGCGTGCTAGACCGAGCAGCAGTGTACTTGCAGGTATGCGCACCTGGAATGTAATTGGAAAGTACATGCCAAACTGGAGTGTGCATGCATGTTGGCTCCAGGTGGAGTGTACTATGTACACAATTGAGTACTTGTATTGCACTATGTACATAATGTATATGTATTGTACTTGTGTATACAACTCACCAGCGGAGTGGCAGAGAGCAGTCGGAGGCTGGAGTTCCCACTCCGCTCCATGGCATAGCGCCGGACACTCTTCGTAGGGTCGCGGTCCCACTTGACCTCCACGAAAGGTCCGTTGCTGGAACGGTACTTCCGGGCAAGTACGGTACCGGGCCCCGGAGGCTTGCCGTCGACCTCGCGTGTTCTCTCCCAGTTCTTTCCTCTGGCCACCCTTGACCCTACCTTTATCCTGGACGCCATCTCCTCAAGCGATATTTCATTGGGAGTGATCTGTGCAAAGACAATGGCGACCTCTGAGAACGAAACAGCCAACCACACTGTGGCAAAAAGCGACGGAAAATTCTGTTAACAGGTTGTGGCAATTCTCCGTAGCCCCCTTGTCAGTATTCTCCGTAGGCTCTTACAATATTTTCCGTAGGACCGCACAGTATTTTCCGTAGGACCTTACCGTGATCTCCGTAGGACCAGGGGGGCAACGCCCTGCATCTTTCTTGACGCCATGTTCGGCCCCCCCTAGCACATTAGTTTACTTCGACGAGATCCAAAGTACTAAGTCCATTAGAGCCAAGCTGTTTTGTTATTACGATAATATATGAATTGAGGAAGTGTTTAAGCCAGGTTTCAACTCACAAACTCAAAAACTTTCCAAGATTAACGTTTTGAAAATATAAGTAGACACTTTTCTTGTAGCGATTGTAACAAAACACAATATTTCTCTTGTTTTCGCGATGCGGTTACGAGGAGTGATTTGATCGTAAGTGTGCTCTCGTTTAATCATTACTTTAATATGACCCCTTAACTTGATGCCGCACTCAAGTTTCATTCGATTCCTATGCTGGGTTCAGAGAGAATCTCCTTGAAAAGAACCATGATTTAAGGGGGGGTCGAACATGGCGTCAGCATACGTGTACAGCGTTGCCACCAGGACTATACAGCCTTCCAGGTCCTACGGAGAAGACTGTACGGCCCTACGGAGAATACTGTAAGAGCCTAGGGAGAATATTGATAAGAGGGCTACGGAGAATCCTGGCAAAAAAATTAACAGAATTTTACGTACCTTTTTGCCACAGTGCAGGCCGTAGTAACGAATACACCTCACCTAAAAGTAAGGCTTAATTTTGGGTGAGGTACACGGAAAAAACAATAAGTTGGTCCAACCGATGCTTCGGTTGGTTTCGGCCCAACTAAGATGCACCCTCAGACTCGTATTGACTTTTTTCTCTCTATTATTGACTTTTGGTCCCTTGCTTACGTTTTTTAAGCATAACATGTAGTATTTCCTTTGTAACCATGTACAATATTGTTCACTATTAAGACTAAATTGTCATAAATTATTGACTATTTTTGAAGTCAATTGCGTATTGACTCTTAGTCAATAGCAAATTGACTTTAAAGTCAAATATAACGAACAAAATCTTACACTGAGGAAACAGTACTTCTTATTGATGCGTAAAAATCTCTTTAACAAAAGAAACAAGTCAAGTAAAGTCTGAGAGTGCAGCTCATAGTATGATGCACGGTCTGTCCCACATTTTTTGACGAGGCTTCGGTGGATCCCACGCGACCGGTGCAAAGTGTGTGACATTCATTGGTGTCACTCACTTGCAAGTGACAGACCAGGGGGTGGCAACGGTGTACACGAGGGGACACTCGTGTAATACCCTGTACACAAAAACCGTGTATTACGCGTAATACACGTAATTGTAATACCATTTTGGGGCAAAATGTGCCAAATTTTGGCATTTTAATGCTGTAATACACGTGTAATATCCCCGTACACCGTTAAAAATCCACTGTAATATTACAACACAATCACACAGTAATGCTGTTATAAAACAACCGTATTGTTTTGTGTCTGAACGGGAAACCCATCCAGAAACAGCACTTTTGTTTCATAACAATTTCCTTGTCAAGTAACAACAATGTAATCGTCATTCAAAATAGTTGTGTTGTCGTTGAACAGGTTTCATGTTTAGAAACAGCCTTTTGCAATCTGAAAACATATTTTTTGGTCAGGTTACAAGTGTCTTGTTTAATAACAGCACGATGAAATCAACACAAATGTATCGAAGACTTCATCGAAGACTCCAAAGAAGTATTGTTTTATTACAATCGAACTGTCAGAAAACAGCACCGAGGGCTACAACATGCTTGTAATAAAACAAGTCGTGCTGCTATCAAACTTAACAGCATAAGTGCTGTTAATTTACAGCACTTTTTTTAACAGTGTAATACAGCGTAATACCGCGTAATACACTCTAAATTCTTATGGACTTTTTAAATGCATAAGGACGCATTTTTTATGCATAGTTACGCATGCGCAGAAACGTCCATAAGGTATGCATAATATTATACATAACATATGGACGTATCTGTGCATGCATAACTATGCATAAAAAAGTCCATAAGAATTTAGTGTGTGCGGGCGTCGACATTGAGCAAACATAAAATGTGCTATTTTCTCCTTAACTATGCACAGTTATGATCGTTGTAAGATAAAATTGTCAATAGATCATGTAGAAATTGAAAAGTACACGGCAAATGTCAATATGTCAGGTTTAATGGACTAAATACACTATAAAATGAAGAAAATAGTGGCGCACAGCTAAAGAGGAAATAGTACATATTACGTTTGCACAAAAAACTTTATGGCAAGAGATAAAAGGTCAGTACGAGACTGAGAGTGAACATTTTAGTCGGAAATGCTTTAGGCCTAGACGCTTGACGGTGTTCAACTTACCGACGGAGCCTGCGACAGTCCACGGCGACTGATGCGAGCCGAGGAGCGGGGCGAGTCCAGATCTAACGCCGGGCGTTTGCACTTGTTGGGGTTGCGCTTCACGGGCGCAGTGCTAGGTTGCTGCTGGGGGGCGACGGTGGTGGGTCCAGGAGCAGCACCGTCCTTGCCGCGCGACTCTTTCGTAATGAAATTCCGTACATCATCTATGCACAGAGAAAAGGCCCATTTAAACCCGTTTTTTAGGTTCAAAAACATTCGGAAATGGATGTGGATAAAAATCTGGGCACAAAGTGTGACGTGCCTCCTTAATCTTATGTTATTCGTCCGAAAAAAAAAATGTTTCATCGAAGTACTGCAGAGGTACTTAAAGGTGTTCATAAACAGGTTGGTAGCGTATTGGGGTACGCGCTTTAATAATTGTCCACCACACTGGAAGCATGAAAAATCAATGGTTTTGGATCGCTGAACAAGCTGCACTCTCGGCACATTATTGACTTTTTGCTCATTTTTGTCAGTACTCTGCAAGTAACCTGATCAACTATAATACGTACTTTCCCTTTTTAAAGAACTACATAGGAAATATTAAATAATGTAGTGAGAATTCTGTTTTGTACATAATTTTACAAAGGAAATTAGACATACTTTCTTAGAAAATACTACGACGTATATTGCTCTTTATACGGATACGTAATTAATGAGGGAAAAGGCAGTAACGTGCTGATAGTGTGTGCCTGCCCTACGCTTCTAGGCGTAGAGCGCGGTGTGGTCGACGCTTGTAAGCCAGTACATGACTACGACAGGTCGACGCTTGTAAGCTACACCCTCACTGTCAGAAAACTCCGTAAAAATACGGAAATTTAACGGAGACTGTCCATTTTTTTTTTAACGGAGATCTCCGTTTTTTTAATTATGGATTTTCTCCGTAAAAATATGGAATTATGTATATAAATGAAATAGAAGCCTTACTTATAAAAAAAAAAAGACTAATTCACGTTATCGATGGGTTGGGTGACCAACTGATTAGGTGTTCCAAGAGTACGCCTTCCCTAAAGCGACCTCGCCTTTGGGTTTCCGTTTATTTATCCGATCCTAATGGCATGTGGTCAAGCGGATCCTCGAACAGTTTTGGAGAATATCACTTTCGTCTCAAAGGAAACTGTTTGCATTAACATCGAAGGTGGAAGGAGGGAAGTAAACCGTTAAAATGCGTTTATTTCTGCAAAAATGCGGTTTATCTCCGTAAAAATACGGAAAATCTCCGTAAAAATATGGAAAATTTACGGAGCCTCCATTCCCAAAATAAAAGTAACTTTCTCCGTAAATTTACGGACTTTTTTTCTGACAGTGCTGATCTCATGTGCACTTTTTAGATGCATAGTTATGCGCTTCTTGTGCATTACGCATGCGCAGATACGTACGTAGGGTGTGTAGAATATTAAGCACACCTTACGCACGTATCTGTCCATGCATAAATATGCATAAGAAGTCCACAAGAATTTAGTGTGTAGTACACGACTACGACAGGTCGACACGTGCAAGTGAAGGACATTACGGACCCGTGCGTTTGATTCAGCAGTCTTGACAGGGCAGTGTAAAAAAAAGGTGGAGCTGCGTCGTTGGAACCACACGATACGCCAAAAAAGACCAAGCAACGGCCGTCCTATGAACAAAGACCGATATCCTTTGGGTCGCTCGAACAAAGACCGATCTCCATTTCCTTACCTCTCAACGCGGTCATTTTGAAGTCTCAGAACAATCTCTAATCTCTACGTTCTAATTTCACACAGATCAGTTTTAGAATATCATTCTCTAATATGTTTGACACAAAACCTGCAAACTATTTCTTGAGTTGGATGTCTGTTGCGAGAACCACAAGATAAAGAAGCGGAGAATGCAGAGACGGCCGAAATGGAGATCGGTCTTTGTTCGAGCTACCCAAAAGACATCGGTCTTTATTCATAGGACCCATCGCAAAGGAGACGAAATGGGCCGAAATTTAGGCAACTCCCCGGCGCGCGGACATTCACAATCATGCAATGCAGTACTGACTTACCACTGCCAGTCAGATCTAGGGCTCTGTCCTGTTGCCGTGGTTTCTCAAGAGACACTTGATTTTCTTGGTGAGGCTTCTCTTGTTGCCGTGGTTTTTCCAGAGGCACCTGATTTTCTTGGTGAGGCTTCTCCCGTTGCCGTGGTTTCTCCAGAGGCACCTGATTTTCTTGGTGAGGCTCCTCCTGTTGCCGTGGTTTCTCCAGAGGCACCTGATTTTCTTGGTGAGGCTTCTCCTGCTGACGTGGTTTCTCCAGAGGCACCTGATTTTCTTGTTGAGGCTTCTCTTGTTGCCGTGGTTTCTCCAGAGGCACCTGATTTTCTTGGTGAGGCTTCTCTTGTTGCCGTGGTTTCTCCAGAGGCACCTGATTTTCTTGATGAGGCTCCTCCTGTTGCCATGGTTTCTCCAGAGGCACCTGATTTGCTTGGTGAGGCTTCTCCTGTTGCCGTGGTTCCTCCAGAGGCACCTGATTTTCTTGATGAGGCTCCTCCTGCTGCCGTGGTTTCTCCAGAGGCTCCTGAAATTCCTGCTGGGGTCTGTCCTGTTGCGGCGGCTCTTGCAGCGGTACGTGTCTTCCCTGTTGTTCCACTCCAGGCCCACGTGGCTGCCGTTGCGGCGACACCAACTCTTCGGGTTCTTGCTTCACCCGCTGCTGCAGACCGCACAGCAGTCGGCACAACACCAGCCTGGCTGCAGCGTCCTCGGCGGGCCTCACGTCGCCACTCCACGCCGCGTCGCCGCAACGCAGGCTCAACGTGCACGAGGCGGAGGGGTTGCTCAGGACGGCCACCAGGTCGTTGGCAAGTCGGGATAGTCCTACGGGACAGGGCATCCAAGTCAGGGTACTATACGTTGAGAGGCGTTGGTGAAAAAAAAAAAAACAGCTGGAAATGCTCTATTAAACACAATTTGAGTTATATATACTACGAACCTAACTGGCTGTCTAATCAGTACACACTTACAAATGCATGCTTGGCAAGAACATACTTACAAATGCCTATGCTAAGCATGGAGTGATACGGCGCCTACCATGCATTTGTAAGTGAGTATGTACCTGGCCACACATGTACTTGCAAGCATGCATTTGTACGGGAGTATTTACTAGACATGTTTGCAGGGTGAAACGAATCCTGTACTAAGGTTGCAAGTATGATTATTTGAAGTTGAAGGTGAATGGATGAAAGTTATCTGGCATAAGACAGCACAAACAAAGTTTAAAGAATTGTTACCTTACTGTTGTTGTGCACTAATAACGACAAGTTTTGACGTCCTAATTGAATCTGTTCTCAAAATCCCTTTTAAATTAAAACTTTTCGTTACTGCGTTAGAAAGATTTGAGAGCATAGCGAGAAACAAGTGAAACTTAATGTAATCTTCTATGATGTAAATACTAATGAGAAATGGGGTCTTCGGCAGGGGTCCGTAACTTAACAAATAATACTTCCACGTTTTCGAGCATTTTCGATCATATTCCGAAAACGTTGAAAATAAAATTGATGTGACGAAGTTCTTCAATAAGGTATGGCCATGGGTTATTTTCGTTATCATTCCTGGAAACGGGGACGCGTTCTTCTGGACGAAAATATTTAAAGTTAAAAATAACATTTAACACAATATTTCTAACTTTTATTATTTTCGTCTAAAAGGAGGCGTCTGGTCGCTTCCAGTCATGATAACAAGTAGCCCATGTCTAGGTCTGTGTAAAGAAGCTAGTCAGTATCTGATTTATCATTACGCTCTCATTCCAGGAACGTGACATCACGTTGAAATGATTGTGACAAAATGCCACGTTCGTTTGAGCATTGTGTCACATTCGTTTGAATGTGAGTAAGCTACGTAGTTCATGGCTGCTTCACGTCCGAAAGAATGTGATACAACGCTCAAGAAACATGACATTTTGTCACAATCATTTCAACGTGATGTCACGTTCCTGGAACTCTAGGTGAAGTGCGGGTGAAAATTCCTGACTTCAGGACATAGGGGGATCTGCCTTTGCAGTCAGAACGCAAAAGAAACACAAAATCCCTCAGTAGCCGTCTAGCATCCATCTAGCAGTTCACGAACAGTGGATCATTGATAAGCAAATTCGGACCTTAGTGTCTGTCAAAGGGAATCTGTGCAACAGATTAAGCCAAAAAAGCCGGAGCAATTTTTTAATTACTTTGATAAGAATGTTTTATCAGAGTTACGAAACAACCCATTTTAAAAGGAATTCGAAGGGTAGAGAAGACCTTCCCACTTCACATGTTAAACGTATTTTAAGTCATGTTAACTTAAATTTTCTTTTCATTCCAAACTATGGACTAAGTTCAATTTCGCTTCACAACTTTGAACTAAGGAACCTCCGAGAAAAACCCTACATTAATCAGACCAAAACTGTTGCGCAGAATCCCTTCAGGGTGGGCAAAATTAGCGCAGAACTTCTTTATTTCGTTAGAACTAGACAAGATAGACTTTTCACGATCTATTCACCCTCAACTTCTTTTTAAAAAATCGTAGGGTTATTTTCTTACAAATCATCCCGGGCTAACTTCGGTTTTAGCTGTTTTTACACTTACGCCTCAACCTCACATTGGAGGCCACGAACTACATCCGTCGATTTCGGTACCTCTCACGCAATGTCTTCCAAAAACGTGCTTACCGGCCATCGCCGCGCCCTGCTTGGCCTGCCCCCAGGCCGCGTCGTCGGCCTCCCGCGCCGCCAGCAGGCGCTCCCTCGCCGCGTGCAGAGACGCCTTCGTCCGCTGCAGCTGGTGGCGCAGGTCCTCGGCCGCCTCCTCAATCTTGGGGATGGACACCAGCTCCGCGATTCGGTCCAGGGCGGCCTCGCTGAGGTCCAGCTCCTCCAGGAGCGGCCCCGCGTCGTCCAGCCTCGCCTTCTTGCAGGTGACGACGGCATGGCCTCCGTCGTCCACGCACGCCTCCGTGGCGGGGTTGTTGCAGGATCGGCACCACAAGCGAGGGGTTGTATCAACGGACTTCTGAAACCTGCCGAAAGGGGTGTTGGCAGTCGTGATTAATCCGGAAACACGAAGTATGTGGAGGAAGACAAGCGCGGTTTAGGGAGCCTCCGACAGGGAGCGCGATTGTATATATTTTGCCTACCTAAAGGGGAATGTGATGATGGTTGCCTACTATCAGGCATTTCGGGAATATTATCCTCCCCTTCCCCTCCCTCCCTTAAGGGGAAAGACTCGTCTGTAACACCAAAATTTTAACTGATTTCAGGCTTTAATAAAATCTCTTCTCAATAAATAAAAAGTTAAGTGGGGTTTCCAAATAAAAAGCTGGTTCTTTAATGTTCGTTTTCAAAACAGAAGTTTGACTCTAAGCCCTATAACCTGGTATCTGTAATCGCTTTGCTAAACCACTACAATACGCCAAAACTTTACTGCGCGTATGATTGGCAGAGAACACTGAAAATAGAAAGGTCAGACTTTTGACCCCTATAACGGTTTTACTAAAATGTACGACCGAAAAAGGGTAATACTGAAATGTAAGACCGTAAAAACGTCATAAGGGAGTATGGGGCGATTTGTAACAGGGGCGATTCGTAACAAATGCGTTTATTAATTTAAGTGGAGGGAGCAGAGGAAAATCTGAGTATCACTCTAAAAAATAATATAGGATTTTGTAACGATCTTGATACAAAATTCTGTTACACGTCAGTCGGATACAAAAATTTGTATCCTTGATCCTAAATTCTGTATCACGTCAAGAATGTTACGAATTTACGAATCAGTGCTTCAAAATTCTAAAACTGATACAAAATTCTGTACTTTTCGTTTCAATATTCACAATCAGTGACATATTTCCATGTAAAAATGCGATCTTTATGCAAATAACTGTAACTGATTCAGAAAACCGTAACATATCGTTACAAGTTTACATATCGTCTGATGCAAAAATTAATAACGCAAATTTAAAGTTAAATTACGAGCTTAATTTTAACATCACAGTTGATCGGGCGAAAAGTCCTAACGTGGGGCATGGTACTTTAGAAGATTCGGGCCAGGAACTCTAACTGTCGCGCCGCAGGGCTCGTTTCCCACCACTACCTGGGCATGCCGCGTGCCCGCTCGGTGTCATCGACAGTCTGAGGCGTGCCTCCCCATACGGCGCTGTGGCGCAAGCGGTAGCATGCCGAGCTGGCAATCCGGGGGACCGGGGTTCGGTTCCGGAGAACGCAGTTCGGTTTCTGCGGGTGTTCGGGAGTACAGGAGCGACGGAGCGAATGTGTAGGAATAAACGATCATTGAGGTTCAAATTTTGTTTATAAAACGACAAATTTTTCTGATTTTTGCGTTGCAGAATTCTGTAACCGGGAAACAGTTTACCGTAACGCGTGATACAAAATTTTGTATCAGTGCTGATACAAAATTCTGTAACATTTGTAGTGGAAATTACTGCGTAACCATGTTACAGAATTTTGTATTGAAATTTTTTTGAGTGATGGCCCCTCTTTCGCTTCAGGTAGAGGGTCCTTGAACAATCGAAGCGGATGTGATCGGTGCTCAGGTATAGTTTTGGAGGGCGTCTGAAATATAGGGTGCACCGAAAACAGGCAAATCTTTTATTTTGAGTTCAAGGAAGTTTCTGTCTGAGGCTGCCCAGGTATGAATCACCATCGAAGTACCGTTGAGGCCTCGAAGCGTGACCCCTTTACGATGCAACCACGTGGCATAAGTTGCTTTTACTTTGTCCAGTGATAGTTAGGG